GGAATAACTTCGACCTAGTCAATTTCTTTCTTACCACATCTTTTTTAAACGAAGTTTTACCATATGACCCTTATTGTAGGTACTATTGCATGTGGCTAACTCAATAATGAAAGTTAATCGAATAGAGATATCAGATGCTTGAGATACCATTCCTTTTGTCGCGATAATAAAAGGTTATGGGATGAATTCGTGCATAGTGAAAATTTAGTTTATCAGACTGTCATTTTTCTTCCGTGTGGGACCTCCATTTTAATTAATTTCTGACAACACATAAATTATGTTGCATATAGGAGTAATTTCCCTAGATAGTCACCCATGTTTAAGAAATTACCTAGGAATACACTTATGTTTGTTTTAGCACTACAATATCACCTAACTTTGCCTATTTTCCTCAAAATATACTTGACACAAAAAATACATTATCTCTCTCCTACTAGGATGCCATGTCACATTTTTTAATTTATTAATAATATTTTTTTTATTCTTTAAATGACAGCTTTGTTTAATGTATCTATAAGAGAGCATTAATACATTCTCTATGAAAATCTAGTTACTTCAATTTTATAGCGAAAATCTTTATCCTATGTTTCATTTATGAGTATTTGCCGTTATATCCATACAAAAATTTAGTCTTGCTGTCGAGGAAAAATTAAACTAGTTACTTGAAGCTGATGAAGAAACAATAAATTTAGTTGATTATTTAGAGATAAACTAGATATTAGGAACATTGATTTTTACACAAACTATAAACATCTGTTGCTTGTTCACGGTAAAAAATCAAAGGTTTCTTGTTCATGGTAAAAAAAAGATTTTTACACAAACTATAAACATTTGTTCAAAGCTTAGGCAGATTTAAACAATAGAAATATCCGATTAAAAAACAAGCAAGCAAAAAATCCCTAAATTTTAAGAAAATTACTCCAATATCATGTTAAGTATTCAAATTATTTCACAATTTACACTTCAAAAATAAAAGAATCAAAAGAAAACTTGAATTTTACATCGTGGCGATTTCTTTGGTCGACATAAAAGGTATACAGCGGCTCAGGAGACAGTTCCTTATGCAAATTCGTTAATTTATTCCTTGAAGAACCGGAGGAAGCCATATATTTTCTTGAAGAATCGGAGGAGCTCATATTACAGTTCCTTATGTAAATTTTTTTTACTGGATATATATGGATTGTCTAAAAAAAATTTAAAAATTGTTAATAATAATAATAAAAAAAGAAAAGAAATAATGTGGCATGACATCCTAGTAGGAAAGAGATAATGTATTTATTGTGTCAAGTATATTTTGAGAAAAATAGGTAAAGTTGGGTGATATTATAGTCCTAAAACAAACATAAATGATATTCCTAGGTAATTTCCCTGATGACTATCTAGGAAAATTAATTTCTGGCAACACATAAATTATGTTGCATATAGTTAAGACTTCAAGTAAATAATTAGCACTCTGGAATTATGAACCTTCTAATTGCAGAAAAGATAATGATGGAGTATTAATTAATTGATGCCATTTTAATGCTTAATTAATTGGTTGAAGCAAATGTCACACTAGCACATGAAGATGTTCTTTAATTAATCCATAAATTAATCCATCTTTTACTCCCTTTGTTCAACAATATATCTTCATTATTGACTTTGCACAACTTCTTAAACAACTATAAATAGAAGGGTAAGTTTACTATATTATCCTTTGAATATACTCCCTCTGTTCCTAATTATTTGTCCATTTTGACAAATCAAAAAATTATAAATCTTTTTTACATATTAGACCATCAATTAATTACTTTGAAAAATGTAGAAATTCTTGAAAATTTCAAGTTTTTAATTCATCCACTTTATAATTAATAGGAGTAAAATGGTAAACTCAATATGTCAAGTATTGTTTTCTTAATAGGCGTGTCAATTCAAAAGTGAACAAATAATTAGGGACAAAGGGAGTAATAAATACAATGTCTTAAAAAATGTAATAGAGAAATGACTATAATTAATGATAAGGGTATATTAGGAACAAGTGTAAAATTATTCATTGATTTCATAAAATGAACAAGTATTGTTGAGCATTCCAAAATAATATAGTGGACAATTATTATTGAACGGAGGGAGTATCTCATTAATTACTTTCTTGCTGTTTTAATTAGGCATATATTGATGGACTAAAACACTTATTTTCGTGTTAAGATAATAATGTCACTTTATTTTATGTTAATCATGTGACCGTTGCAAAGAGCAACTTGCCAATTACAAGTTAGGTTAGCTTCCATACAACCTAGTCAGTCTAATTATTATTGTATAAGATTGCCTTTTTAAGTCTTGGTTGTATGTTTTTATAACACAAGATTTCATATTCAAGTCTCAATTTTATTTATTATGCCTTGTTCAAAATAGTACGATGTGTGACATCCTAGTCAATCTTTTTGTTACTTTAGATAATCGATTGAAGATACTTAAAAGTTTCTTTCTTTTGAATGACGACCTAAGTATAGAGTCTCGCTTCCACTTCAATCTCATGTGTTATATCATTATTGAACTTGCATTTCAAATATTTTGTCTTGATTCTGTTCAATTTGAACCGACCTTTAGACTCTAGGATTTATCTACAAACCTTTATCTCTCTCATTAATCAAAATTATGTGATCCGCAAATAATATACACTATGACACCTCAGCGTGGATTCATTACATCAATGCATAGATATATATAAATATTTGTGTTCATGTGATATGTGTTGTTGGTATAATTAGTTGGCCAATGATATTTGCATCCATGATGCTGCATTAAATAGAAAACTATATTTTTTATGGATATTCCCAAACTAATTATGAAGTGGGAGAAAGCTCTCTGATATATTATGCACTTAATTAAATGTGATTATAATTAATTATGTCCTACTGTAATAATTCTATGTATAATATATAGTTGCCTGATCATGTGCCTTGGTTACAACTATTGCCAGACTTGGCACATGTCATGTGGAAAACTTTGGTTAAAAGTATAGACTCTCTCTATCCCTAATTATTTGTCCACTTTTTCTTTTATAGTTGTCCCTAATTACTTGTTCATTTTGACAAATCAAGAAAGGACAAATTATTTTTACATATTATACTCTCAATTAATTAGTTTGAAAAAGATAGAACTTCTTAAAAATTTAAATTTTTAATTCATCCACTTTATAATTAATAGGAATAAAATGGTAAACTCACTATATCAATCATTATTTTCTTAAGAAGTGTGTCAATTCAAAAGTTGACAAATAATTAGGGACAAAGGGAGTACCTTTTAGTGGTAGCAATTAGGGCGAAAAGTAAGAATTTATATGTATAAAATAGGATAATGCTAAATGGCCAGAAAATTTGGCCAGAATTTGGTCAGAAATTTAAAAAGTCTATAATATCTTTTTTATTTTAAAATAAAATGATCTTTTTCCATATTTTAATTAAAAGATATTAAAGTTAAAAAGATAAAAATGTTCAAATAGATAAAATACCATTCTGACCAAATTTTCTGGCCAAAAGGATTTTTCCTATAAAATATTACTCCCTCCATTCCATATTAATTTAATTTTTGAGGTGTTTCACACCCTTTAAGAAAAGTAGATTAAGACATAAATTGAACATAGTTTTCCATTTTTACCCTTATTAATTATTGTCAAATTAATGATTAAAATAACTAAATATTAATTAATCATTAATTCCAATACTAACTAATGAAGGGTAAAATTGAAAGAATACTCTAAAAGTAGTATTGAAAACTGAACAATGAAGTTAATTTGAAAAATGGAAAATGCCTCAAAAATTAACTTAAAACCTAATAACTCAAAATTTATACTTCCCTCCATTCCATATTAATTTAATTTTTGAGGTGTTTCACACTCTTTAAGAAAAGTAGATTAAGACATAAATTGAACATAGTTTTCTATTTTTACCCTTATTAATTATTATCAAATTTATGATTAAAATAACTAAATATTAATTAATCACTAATTCTAATACTAATTAATGAAGGGTAAAATTGGAAGAACACTCTAAAGTAATCTTGAAAACTGAACAATTAAGTTAATTTAAAAAATAAAAAAATATCTCAAAAATTAAATTAATATGAAATGGAGATAGTATGATTTAAATTTTGTGTAATAACATGTGCACGTGAGTGCAATGCTAGTCATTGACCATTGGAGACTTTCGAGATACAATTAATTACATTATCAATTCATCATTAATTATGCCTCTTGAATCCTGTGACTATAATTAATTTTTATAATTGTGATGTTGGGTCGGTTTAAATGTATTTCGACTAATTTTATAAGTTAATTTTCATTTTTAAAAAATTGTTGTGCGTGATTTATTTTGTTTTTTTTATCTCTTATAGTATTTGTATTTGAGATCTCAGATGATACCTTGAGTGCCACTTTTAAATTTATATGCTATTAAGTGATGTTCTTACTGGGTATACCAAATACTTGTTGTTTGGTGCGGTGAATAAAAATAATAACTCTGTGATAAGAAATAAAATAAATTTATTTTGTATTTGATCAGAGGTATTAATTAATTAATCTCAAAATTATCTATCGCGTCATTTATATTAAAATAATGAAATTTGTTATTAACGTATACGACATCCAAATTCATGAGGTCGAGATAATTTTGTCTATCCTATACTCATGGGCGGAACCATCATAGGTGAAGGATGGTTTCGTGCATATCCTTCATTGAAAAATTCTGTGATGTATAGAGGTTAAAATGTAACTATTATAAATATATTTAATTTTGCACTTCTTTACATAACTGGAAAAAAAAAATTGCTCACTCTTCATCAAATTTCTGATTGTGCCATCGCATATACCCCACCACGGCTCCTTAAAATCACTTATTACGAAAGAATTAATTGGCCAGCTAGTTTTAGGACTGTCAAAGTTGCAGTAACTTCCACGTTAGAGTATCTATACTATATATAATGGCATAGAATTAGTACATTTTCTCATCCCAAACCAAAAAATAAATAAATTCTCTTAGTAGGATTCTATTCATTTTAAAGAATGCTCTTTATTAATTGAGTTTTCTCAGTCTTGATTTGAAAGTCGTAACAACATTTCAATTCGTATAATTTATAGCTAACGTTAGAGATTTTCTTTATACTCGATTTCTACTCATCAACTCGAAAATAATAGAAACATTATGGGCTTCAAATGGATGATGATGTTGGTGTTGTGTGTGTTAATAGGAGGATCAATGGGAGCTAAGCCCAATAAGCCAATTGATGTCCCATTTGGAAGAAATTATGAGCCTAGTTGGGCTTTTGATCACATCAAATATTTGAATGGTGGCTCTGAGATCCAGCTCTCCCTCGATAACCGCACCGGTAACATTTTATTTTTCATCAAATGTGTTTGGTACGATTGAAGTCATTAATCGTATTATTTGTTGTTCTTAATATTGATCTTTGCATTGCTTTCAGCATGACTAGTTTCTCTACTACTTTATTTGTTTTACATGCGTGATTTTTTTGGTTATGTTTTACTTGAATCGAAGGTCTGTCGGAAACAATCTCTCCGTCTTCACAAGGTAAGGGGTAAGGTTGTGTATACACTACCTTTAATGTTCCATTGGTTGTATTTGGTATGCTGGAAGTCATTAATCGTATTATTTATTGTTGTTAATCTTGATCTTTGCATTGTTTTCGGCATGACTTGTTCTCTACTACTTTATTTGTTTTACATACATAATTTCTTTTGTTATGTTTTACCTGAGTCGAGGGTCTATCGAAAACAATCTCTCCATCTTCACAAAGTAAAGGGTAAGGTTGCGTATAAACCACAACCTTTTTCGGACCGCGAGGTTATAGTGAGTATGTTGTTGTTGGTTATAGTTTCCGTAGAACAATCTTGACTTAACTTTGGATACTACTATTATTATTAACTTTAACATATACTTTTTTTTTCTTTCAAAAATTGTTACTTTTTATGTTAATGCTTCTGATTTTGAATTTGTGTTGGGGCATATAGGTACTGGCTTTCAGTCAAAAGGATCTTATCTATTTGGGCACTTTGCTATGCACATAAAGATGGTTGCTGGTGATTCTGCAGGCACAGTCACTGCTTTCTACGTAAGTCAATAACATATACTAATAGTTAATTCATTGTATTTCGATCTTAAATTAGTTGGAATCGACTATATAAACTATACAACATACATTTTGTTATAATGTAAAGGTATGATAGTCAGTGGTAAAGCTAGAATTTTTTATTTAGGGGTATCAAAAAATTATAACAATGTTGCTAGCTAGGATTGAACATGTATCAAGAAGCGTCAACACTAATATATATGTGACTATAAAAATAAAATTTGACCTATTTATACAATATAATTTCCTAGCGACACCCCTCGAGCAAATGTAGCTCCGCCCCCTGATGATAGTAAGTTAACATAGCTTCTAACAAAATAATAATCCGATACTACTTGCACAAAATTTTGTGTCACTGCCACGATCCACGAAAGACCATCGATTGGCTTCTTTGTAGGTTTTACGGCCAAAAAACTATATTTGAAACCGGATTCAAGCAAATCTAACTTTGTCTCATTACACTATATATAACAATAACAATAGTATATTCAATATAATTTCAAAATGTTGGGTCTGAGAAATATATATGTTAAAAACATATTACATAGGTACAAAAATTTCCGAATCTATAAAGTTAAAATCTAGAATTTATTCTGACGATGTGAATTACTTTGTGTGTATGCAGTTGTCTTCTCAAAATTCAGAACATGATGAAATAGACTTTGAGTTCTTGGGGAATAAAACAGGAGAACCATACATTTTACAAACAAATGTATACACGGGAGGGAAAGGTGACAAAGAGCAAAGGATTTACTTATGGTTTGATCCAACAAAAGATTATCACACTTACTCTGTCTTGTGGAATCTTTACCAAATTGTGTAAGTAATTTTTTATGATCATTTGATATCCGAAAATTGTTTAATTAATTCAGATTTGTGTTATATAGAGTCTATTTAGAATGAAACGATCTTTATTAAGGGATTTAACATTTCAAAGGTTGAACCTGTTCAAGTTTAAATGAATTGAATTATGATCGTTTATTAATTTAACATAATGGGTTGAACTTGAATTGACTCATCAAACATTGAGTCAAAATATAACCCAAACCCAAGTTTACAAACTCAAAATTTGAAGATTGAGAATTATATAAATCTAAAAAAATTAAGATAATAATTTAAGAAAATGTCAGAGTTTCATCTTTTTTTTTCCTCAAAAAGACAACATAAAAAAGGAGGTGAAGTTAGGTCAGGCTAGGAGGGTTAAGTTATGATCGTTATTTGAACTATTTTGATCCAAATAAACCTTAGGCATGTTAAATCATGACAATTTATTAGTTTGACTTGTTTTGACGTAGAAATAGCATTTACTAACTACTTTTTGGTTGTTTTAAAAAAAAACCAGCTATTATCTTAAAGTTTCATATACCACAAGTGAAATTTTAGATCATTATCTTGCTCTTAATTTCTCTTATGATTTTTGAAACCGTAAGACATTGACTATTTTTCAAATATAAGGATGAAAAAATGCATGATTATTTATAAGTTTTTTGTAATATATTTTAATCTATTCAAGTTTAATTCAATCCGTCTATTTAACATCAGGTTCTTTGTGGATGAGTATCCCATAAGAGTGTTCAAGAACAACAAGAACTTAGGTATCAAATTCCCATTTGACCAACCAATGAAGATATACTCAAGTCTATGGGAGGCAGATGATTGGGCAACAAGAGGTGGACTTGAAAAAATTGATTGGTCAAATGCACCCTTTGTTGCCTCATACAAAGGCTTTCACATTGATGGTTGTGAATCTTCTGTGAATGCCAAGTTTTGTGCCAATCAAGGCAAAAGTTGGTGGGATCAAAAGGAATTTCAAGATTTGGACACAACTCAATGGAGACTTTTGAGAAGAGTTAGGGATAAGTATACAATTTATAACTATTGTACTGATAAAAAGAGGTTCTCTACAATGCCAAAAGAGTGCAAGAGGAATAGAGATGTTCCAAGGAATTCATGAAACAAAAATTAACTTCGGATTTTTTAAAAATATTATTAAGCATGTGTCTGATTCTGTAAAAATTATGCATTTTAGAGGATTCGATACGAATATGATAATATTTTTTAAAAAATTGAGCATGAAGGGTGTAATATTGTGTGTAGCAAGTCTACTATAACATTTCAATAATAATAATAATAATAATTTATTTTTATTTATTCAAGAAGGAAAGTAGCACTATCATCTACTATTTATTTTTTTTAAAATTATTTGGTGTTTGGTACTTGTATTGAGGCTTCGATTGATTTGGATGTTTTATGTAAGGCCTATAATTAAACGCAAGTGTTACCTACCAAGTACCAATACCGTGATTTTTTCCATATTCAAGACTTGAACCCAAAACCTATGATTATGAATGAAGGATTCACTTGGAGGTGAATTTATAATTTAAATATAATGAGTTCACATTTTAAGATCGTTAGAGCTAACCAATTTACCCCATATTATTATTTAAAGTGGGAATAACAACCCCCTAACGGATAATATCTATTCAGTTAACTTGAAGAAAGTTAGTTCAGATTTTGTGATGTATTATTTAAAAATTAGTTTAAAATTTTAAACTACCTACCAGGGAGCACCTTTTTAAACCTTTTTTTTTGTTAAAGACTTGGGATTTAGTAAATGAATAAACTTCTACTTTCCTACTATTTCATCACTATATTAACTTTGAGATATTTATTGTTCAACTAATTTTGTCTTTACATAAATTGGTCGTGGTTGGTATTAATATGCACCTACTTTTCAACTTAGATTCTATATATAAATTAATAAGACTTATTTTTTATACATTATAGTGTAGTTTCGTGTTATGTAACTATTTGTTACATAAATTGGTGTGGATTGGTATTAATGTGCCTGTAATTTCGTGTTCTTTGACTTTTATTACTCTATATGGTATTTTTTATATTTCTATTTATCCTATTGTTTTGTTATAATTTTTATATGTTACTATCTATTTTTTCTTCTATTTTTGTTACTAGATCGTTTTTCTTTGAACCGAAGGTATATCAACAACAACCTCTCTACCCCTAAGACCATCTCCAACCCAACACCAAATCCTTATTTGGTGTAAAATTTGGTGTTTTGGAGCTCCAATCCAACACCAAATTTTACACCATTTTGGTGTGTGAATAATGTTGCACCAAATTTGGTGTAACACTATTCATCACACCAATTCACTTTATTGAATATTTTAATATTATTTCGTTATACAAAACTTTTAATTAAACATTATATAAATTGTATGTTTTAATTAAATCTCTTGTATATTTAATTATTTTTTGTGTAATATTTTTATAATATTAATTTTATATATAAAAGATAACTTTTTTTTATAAATTAACTTTTCTATATATGACTTTTTAAAAAAATTAAATTTATGTTAATTCTACTATAAATTATTATGGTATAAAATAATTTTATATTAAACGACTGTAAATGAAAATAATATGAATTGTATATGGTGAATATTTTAGAAAGAATTTGTTTTATGAAATAAGAAAATATACATGAAATAAGAAATAATAATATAATAACGAAGAGAAAAAAATATTCCTTTTTGGTGTAAAATGTAGTGCAGTGGGTTGGAGTTGATTTACACTTGGGTTGGAGATGCCCTAAGATAGGAATAAAATTTATGTATATTTTACCCTTTTGAAACCCCTCTTTGTGAAACTACACTGTGTATTTTGTTGTAATATTTATAAATTATAGTAGTGTTCAAAATGACATTACATTGGACTATACGTAGACATCAATTGAATTATATATAGAAATTTTAAAGTTAAATTATTTGTCACCTAAATTGGGACAGATGTTATTGCAAAATGTTGACGACCAATGAAACTACTAGTATACGTACGATGAATCTCTCGAATACTGAACTCCCCGCCTACAGGCCATATCGAACATGAATATAGAAAAGTAGATAAATGGAGGATTCATATAACCGACCTCAACTAGTCTGATATTAATACAGCAAGAAGTAGTGTGTGATGAAAGCCAATCTCACTGGACCTAAAAACTAACTACTGCAGTTTACCAAAGAGAAAATCTTCATTGTCCTGAGGTAATACCTCTGCTGCTTCTATGAGCAGATTTCTCATTCATAAAAACCGCGTTTCTGTCAATAGATCGACGAGCTAATAAAATATGACGTGTGTGTGTGTTTCGTGCACTCGCAAGCCAATTATACATATACATAAATTTACATATAGAGAGTGTCACGCGTAAGATGGAGAGATTTTTGCCTCGTACTAAGCTCGCTCTGAAGATTTCATTCCGCGAAAAAATTATCAAGCATTGGTGATAAATGCTTTAGCGCCTCAGCATGCCGGTTATTGCTCTCTGCTACTTCTTAGGTCCGACACCAATCATCGTGAGCTGCCAAAAATGGAATGTATAGTTAGAGGAAACTAATGAAAGATATCGAAATGGATAATGTGTAAGAGTCTAAGCATGTACTGACAATATTATTTTCAGGCCGCCTCCAGTAGAATCCCTGCAAAAGAACGGGCAGGATGTTGCACGATACAAGAATGTAAATCAGCAACGCGTTCGTTCCCATCCATTTCAGTATTGTGGTCCAGTGTCTATAGCCCCACACATCAACCTATAGAAAGAACAAAGCTTTTAGCTATGTAACAAAAGAATTGACTTATTTACCAACCCCTAGCATGGCTGCAGTTTTTGACAGCAACTAGCCTTGAAAAGGTAAACTACGACGAAAAAAAGATCAAACTGTCTCAAAATCATATTGCCATGGGAGGAACTAGGGTAGCAGAAGGGGTTCGTTGAAAAAGTACACTATATATACAAGGTCAAAATTATTTCTTATATATATATAGTGGATATTGAACCCTTCTTTATATTTTGAATCTCCTTAGTGGAAATCCTTGTTCGGCCACTAGACATAGCTACTTGTATATCTGAAGCTTTCCGACAAAGAAACTTCTTATATTAAATCTTGACTCGTTGACAATGGAGTTTTAAGAAGAAGAAAAAAACTTTTGATATGTAAAGCCAAATATATGCGAAATACCAAACTTATTCTTTAAATTATATTTTCCACCAAGTTTCAAGCATTGAACCAAGAAATCCTGAGGGTCAATAGCACAAGGTTCGAAACTAAGTTCTAGGAGAAGCAAGTCAAGATAAAATCAGATACCAAAATGGAACTCCGAAGCTTTGCCTTAGTAGACAGACCAAGCATGTTCAGATAATGTTCAAGGAAAGACTAAAAAGGGATGAATAGTGTCTAACCATCATATAGACTGCAGTGAAGAGAAAGCCAGCAGAGCCAGCAGTAATACACATATAACTGAAGGAGTACAAAACCTTGTTTGCGTGCATCCCTAAATGAAGTAAATAAAAAAGAGAAGTTAATACTCTGTATATTTGCTCTCTATGATAAAACAAAGCTCTAAGATGTATAGCATGAAAAGGAACAGAAATTTAAAAGAAAAGCTTACCGAGGCAATCACATGTTACACCCAACAGTACGAGACAAGAGGATGGTACCAACCATTGCTGAATTCTAACTTTATGATCCTGGAACACATTAGGATGCGGAGCAACAAAATAAGTGAGCTTCTCATCCAAGGGAAAAAAAGAATATACAAAACGAGAATGCAGAAAATGTTTACCTTGAAATGAACAATGATGTGTCCGTAATGCAAACCAACGAAGCAAGTTACAATAGCCATCAATGAGCTACAACAAAGTCAAATGAGCTTAATTGACAAATTCCAACCAAAGATAAGAGAGTAACAAAGGAAAGGGGCTTTATTTTGAGACACATTATAAGTTTCTGACAAATAACAAAAGATATTGAGGTATCAATAACAGACCTCAAAAGTCCTTCTGGGTCGAAAGGGGCTTGACACCATGATGGAGCATCTAGAGGAAGGGGACCGTTGTTAGGGGAGTTGACACTACATTCCTGTCAAGAAAACAATCAAAACGTTTGAATATCAAGGAATGCTGAAAATGGAAAGTAACAGAAAGAGAAACTTTGAAATACTAAGGGAGGAAGAATACTTTTGATCGTCCATAAATGGCTCTTTCATATAAGTGTTGAATACCCAATATTTTTCGGTCAATCATTCCAACAGCATTACATGCTGGTCCACTGTCTCCCCGTACACCACATTTCACCTTCAAAGGGAACATAGTCATGTTAACAAAACTCATCATTTCCTCATTCTCAAAAAAAAACAAAACTCATCATTTCCATTTGTAAAACGGGATGTCATCCCAGACCTTTCAAGGAAAACTTAAATAGACAACTAATTGCAGTGAACAACTTACTGTGAATATCTTTGCTTCTGAAGAAGATATGTCCATTGGCATCTGATATTCCCAGTCAGGAACATATAAACCGTAGAACAAAGAAAGGTATAAAGCAGTAACCATTATAGCCATGGCCCTGGAGAAACAAAAATGGAGGGAGAAAAAGGAAATATGATTAAACAGGAGAGTGAAGATTAAGCATTGTTTTCTTGTTTTTGAGAATAATGCAGATTAAGCATTCTAACATTAAAAAAATTGACAGAAGCATGAAGCTTTAGAAAAAGTTCAAAATGCACCACATTTGCAGCTATATAAGACAAAAACAAAAAAAAAAAAATCAGACAAATTGCAGTATCTTGTTCTTCCATGGATATCCCCCTACGAATATTCCGACATTAAATAATCCATGGTTCATCACTATCCGTTTGATTTCCCTTTTCAAGGGAACAAAATTACTAGTTTGCACCTCTATCTGATAATTAAAAACTTCCCATGAAGTTACTGGGTTCTAAATTAATATCTATACATAATGACTTTTTTTAAGACGAATACAAAGTTCGAACCAAAGCTAATGGGTTTTGCTGAACCTGTACCCACTACTCTACCTCCATCTCTGATTTGCAGTCTTAACACATTTGCCAATTGAAACAGATTTCTACCATAGATGCCATCCCAGAAGGGTAGGCTATTTAACATGCAGAATCATAAGATTACAAGTTCACCATTTATCCAGTGAGATTAACACATATATGTGATTTCTCGCACCCCACTGTTCCCCTTACCAAGACACTCATTGAACATGCTAATGGAGCTCCTTCGTATTTCAAGATTCCATTGCCATGCCTGAGAAAACTCTCATATTTTTCTCACCCTCAGGATGCTGACACATGAGATATCCGAAGCACTAGTGACAGTGAAGATTCAATAACTGAAGGAGTTACCTTCTGATGTCGAGACTAGGAGTTACTGCAGCTATCAGCAGTCAGCACAGACCATTTAAAGGAATTTCAGGATGGCACTGTTTCCACATACAAGAAACCTAGCTCTCTCTCACCATCACGCATACACACTCGCATCGAGCAGAGCAATCTTTACATAGACTCAGCTTTTGGCATCCTTGACCCTATTACTTTACAGACTCACTCTATTTATCACTACAATAAGCTAAAAGGTGTCATTGTCCATATTTTTTATGTATCATCTCCAATCCTGATGGTACACCATGAGGACTAGGTACTTACCACCCTATGGGCAGGGCATATTGTTTAAAAGATCATGTTGTTAAAATTCCTACACCTTATTTGAACAGAATACACACATTAGTTTTTTGATCGTTGAAAATAACCACATATTAGTATTGTCTAGCCATTTGGAATCAAACCTTCTCCATATCACGCCAACATTTTGCAATATAGTTACTTTAATACTCCCTCTGTCCCAATTTATGCGACTTACTTTCCTTTTTAGTCAGTCCCAAAAAGAATGACACATTTCTATATTAAGTAACAATTTAACTTTAAAATGTCTATTTTACCCTTAATGAAATGATTTACAGCTACACAAATTTCTATCATTCATTTAGGACCACAAGTTTTAAAAGTCTTCCTTTCTTTCTTAAACTCCATGCCGAGTCAAACTACTACCTCACATAAAATGGGACGGAGGGAGTACTAGACTACAAAACATTTCAGACTGAGGACCATCTTTTGAACACAACCAAAGTTTCAATTTCAAATCAAGCTGATCTTGTACTAATTTAAATTTTTGTCAATAATATGTTATGCTCAAGGTAAGCAAAACATATTGATGAAAGAAGTTAGTAACGATTACCGCTAAGTGACGAATAGTTTAAATAATCTTTATTGGAACGAATGGTCAAAAGACTCGGAACTCACCATTGTTGATGGTATCTCTTCAACAAAGATTGTCCTGAATTGACTTTATTATCACCCTTGAGCCAGATTTCACACATTGCTGCCAACAAAAATGATATTGCAATTCTCTGGGGAAGAAAAAGAAAAAAAAAGTTAAAAAGAAATATCCACTTGAACAACAAGAGAAATACACAACATAATATAAAACACAAAAGAATATGGTGGCTTCATACTTGCAATATACCCATCCATCTGATTCTCTCAATGTCCACACCATAAGTTAGATTTTTGACACCATGAAAATAGCCTCCTGTTTAGAGAGGGAGAAAGCACGTAAGTGTCATACTTGCCAATAGATCAATCTAATATTTTGCCACTGCATGAAAAACTAATAAACAGCTGTTGCAAGGTAAAGTTAGACAGATGACTAAAAGAAGAGCACCTTGAAGAAAGAGTCCAAGGATGAGAAGCTTAAGCGCGCGGTGAATTGCTTTTCCAGTCGCAGTCAGTCTGCAGGGCATGTTCTGTATAACCCAAAAGAATTTCTATAAGCACAAGAAGCAAAAACATCTGAAACTTCAATACAATGGCTTACAAAAACAGCTCAACCAATATAAAATCATGAAAGTGTCCTTCATATCTTGATTCACAGCTTGATACAAATTGCATAGATACTAGAGATAAAATTTGCTATAAAACCAATATCTATATTGGTTTCAAAAAGAGAAAGCTCTCTGCCCCCAAGACAACTGCAAATAAACAAATCCAGCAACAAAACATAGTTAAATAATCTGAAATTTGTTTAAAGCATATTTACCTTGTACGCAAGTGCAAGCGACACTCCAACAATGAAGAGGAAAAATGGCATGACAAAATCTGCCAGGGTTATACCATCCCATGGTGAATGATTGATAGCAGGATAAATTCCACCAGCGTATTCCACGAATATCATTAACTGCAGAAAGTGTACCAGAACCAAGAGAGAATAAGATGATACATTTTAAGGAAAAGAACCAAATTGCTCATTCAGGTTTGAATTAGTTTCACATAAACAACAAACAGGCAATCTTACTCCCTAGTCCCTCCTTCACATGCGCACAAAGAAGAACTACTGTCATATTTCCCTTTTTGTAATAAATAAATTCTACATGATAAGACATTTTTAAACCTACATAAGAATAGCATCCTTGTCTGGTAAGCCTTGTTCAGTTCCATCTCCTTTAATCCCATTTTCTCATCCATATCTTGTATCCCCGAAATGGTACATTGTCCTCGTTTCCCCACAACTATTTGGCACCAAAACAGGATGATTCGATTGAAACATAAGGCCTTTTTCTTGAAGCCATTTAGGCTTGAACCATCACAATGTCATCAGTTTTTGTATAATATTTGCATATACTTTACAAGATGAAATGAGGTATGTGGAGCGTGTTTCTCAGATTAAAATTATGCTTAAAAGTGAAAACATCCTTAAGCCTTAATCACCACCCAAGTCCCTGTCTTTTCTTTCAACTACAGTTCATATTTTTACAAGTCAAAACAACTTAATACACAAGTCAAAGAATAATGAGCCAGTTGTAACTTGTAAATCGTATCTATGTAGTAGTTGTTCTCTTGGAACAATCAACATTAACAAATGACAAATTTGGAGGAAAAAAGCTGTGAACTTTACTGAAATGCAAAGAATTCTGACACAAGAAAACGCCAAAGGAAAGAAATGGAAAACAGAGAAGAGTCAAAAACATCGCCACCAAACAACAAAATAGCGAGAATATGGAATTCCACAGAGATAGAAAAAGACAACAATATGTCCATTGAATCTTCATCTAAGACTGAATGCCAAAATTAGTTCTCTGAAGCTGGTAATATGGACTTGGACTTTAACAAAAAATTCAACATTTTTGTTAAAAACAGAACAGATGAGAAATTACCCAAAAGAAAGAAACTAAAAATAGACAAGACACAAAAACAAGAAAATTTTCAGGATCAGCAAATCCACAGAGACAATTAATTATATTCACATTGAATGAACAAACATCCTAGTGTAATCACACAAGTAGATCTTAACACTACCTTAGTATAGACAAGTGATGATAGAAAGGAGAATAAACATTGAATCATTCAACTAAAACTGAATCATATGAGAAATTACCGCAACAGTGATCCCTCGAAAAATGTCAAGAGAAAGAAGACGAGCACTCCCTCCACTCTTAGACTTACGAAAATGAGGTCCACCATGATCACCACTAGATTTAGGCAATGTAGACAAAGGAGATGTCGGTGATTTCTGAAAAGACAACTCTAAATCATTATTATTACTTGTTGCATCACTTGTAATAACCTCAATCCTAGGAGATAAAGATAAATTCTTCCCTTCTCCTTCAACTATAACATCCCCTTGTTGTGGATCCCATCTTAATCTTGCATCTTTCTTCTCTCTAATTAGTTGATAAGATCCCATTTTTCTCTCCTCTACGACAAATCCTAATTTTGATTTACACCATTCAACCCCCAAATCAACCAACACCCTTTTCACTAAAACTTGCAAAGATTCTATCTTTTAATACTCCAGATTTGATTCTTGCAACAACAAAATCTTCACCCTTAATTGCCACTGCAAAACAAGAATACATCAAATTTTTAGTCTTTAATTTCTATCCAATAACATAATGGGTATCTGAAAACAAGAAAAACTCACCCCACCAACAAATTTTTTTGCAAGAACCAGCACCAGAGGGGACAATAATGTACCAAACTATATTTTCTCCACCCTTTGTTTTACACAATAATCAAAAAATGGTAGAGGGTACACAAATGTTTAATTGTTTTTATGTGTATACACATATACATATAGAGATATATATAGATATAGATATAGATATAGAGAGAGATAGGGAGGGAGTGGATGATATGTAGAGAGTGGTGTATGTGCTTAAATACAACTCTTCCACTTGCTATAAAACATCTTTTTTATTTACTACTAATATTAGTTCAGTTACGAGTTTAAGTTATATATATTATCAAGTCATATAAGAATAAAATTAATAGATCGAGTGTGGATAAATTAAGTAAAGTTTATCCGTATTAGATGTATAGAAAAAGAAATCAATAATTATTATTGTAATATTAATTAATTGTTATAAGAAAAAGATTAAATCTTGTGTGCGTAAAAGATTTTTTACTGTTTAAATTTTAAAACGAAAAATTATTCAGAAATCCAATCAAATATATAAGCAAAATGCTTTTTAAGAAAATTATGAATATACTGCTCCTAAGTTTTATGCACCTTTATAGCAGGAAATTTTTATATTATTAGTTTTTCCTAAAATATGATATTTGTAATCTTCAAAATAAAATAAATTACTTACTATAATAAATAAAAGATAATTTAATAATATTGATGATGTAAATAATTAAAACTCTTTCCTAATATAGCTTTAAAATATCATAATTGTACTTTGACTTTTAAGTTACTACTATATTATACTAGTCAATAGTATAATTACAAATTTATAACACTATATTTGGAGTATAAATATTAAAGTCGATTCAAGATTTTAATTTATAAGTTTAAATTTTAAGATTTTTGTATTGACTATATTGTACTTTTATTTAAAATTATAATATATATCTATAATTTATTATAATTTTATTAAATTTTTATTTCGCATTGAAAATACTGAATTCGCCTGAAAATAATAATACACTATAGCTTCGTCGACTCAATAATAAAAATAGAGCATCTATGAATGGCATCCAAGGAAAGCATTGATATTTGATACTAATATGCTCCTGTTTTACGTCTACTTGACATTTGCAGACAAAAGATTTTCACATGTGTTGGAATTTGGAACAATTTTTTGAAATCATCATTCAAAATATGTGATCATACTCTGTATTGGTAACTCATATAAAAATTGTAATGCAATTAATTAATGTTTAATGTTTTTTATCCTGATAATTATGTTCGTGTGAACGTGTTCATATTATTAATTTTTTCTTAAATGATAAATAATTTTTATAATACAGATATAACAGAGTCAATAGAAAACTAGATTCAGATCCTTCATAACTTATTCAACATGAAAAATAATTGACGGAGTATTAAAATTTCTTTACTCATTCTCAAGATCTCAACCCTCTTTAACACTCTCTTGATGACATTAGGCAGAACTACCTTATTTGGATGTATTGATCCTATCTTATTTGAACTTAACAATTATTTGTACATATGACAAAATAATATTTTCACTAAGAAAATTCAATACTTGTTATATATATGAGCGGAGACATGATGATAATTACGAGGCAAATAATTTTAGTCCAAACCTTATATGTGCATTTAAAAAAATAATTTAACATATCAAAATATAAAAAATTATAATTCAAAACTCATACATTAAAAATCATATATCGTTGATTATATATATACATATAATGTGATTTAATGGTGGATGTTCGATAAACCTTTTTTTACTCGTCCGTAGTAAATCAGAAGCTTGATACAGATTCGATCAAATTCAATAACTTTTGCTCAAATCATATATTTTTATCAAAAAAATCATTAAATATGTATTAAAAAAATAATCTTAAAACTGAATTATTATTACTCAAAATTATCATTCTAAAATTCAAAATTTCTAAAATTACAATTCTTACTCCGCTTCTGTATAGTTTCATCCCTACTTGTTACAATAATATGTTCATCTATCTTTCTTGGTAAAAATTTTTTTTTTTTCATTTTTTTTTTTTTTTAGTTTGGTGTGAATTTGGTGAATGTAGGAAGGAAAGGGAATGGTGTTGGGTGGGCGGTGGAGTGGGTCCGGGAATAAAAGGGTGTTGTTTGCTTCAAAATTGGGAGAATAAATCAAACAACATAACGCGTCCTTGTGCTTATTTTTCTTTCAGATCGCTACGCAAACTCTCTTACATACTCTTCCGGCGGCTCAACCAACAGCTTAATTTCAACTCTATGACACGTATTGTCTATTTTAAATTTAGATTAATTGTTTGGATTAGAGTTATGGCTTGAATTGCTTATATCTTTGAGATCGTTTGGATCACATATTAAATTAATTTGATATGCACATCATTTTCAAAAGCTTGTCAACACAAAAATCTATCAATCTTACTTGATCGTCTGGACATCACGAAAATGAAAAATTAATCTCCATATTTTTTGTATGTGATCTAACTATACCATGAGAAAATAATTTTTTCATGGTCAATTGTAATTTGCATAAAAAAAAATTATCATACAAATATCTCGACGTAAGTAATTTGCCCAGTATAATTTATTATGTGTATTAAAAATAACAATTGTGAATTTCCTTATCAATATAAAGAAAATAACTAAAGGAATTTTTGTTTTGGGCGTGTATATATATACATGTGTGTGGAAAAATTCAAAGATTTAAGAAATAACTCATAATTTCAATAGTAAGATGAATTTAATGGTAAAAAATCTTAAGGGAAATAGAAGAAAATGTCATAAAATAAATTTACATATAAATATAAAAAAAATTATAAAATTAATTGGAGTTGACCAAAATAAGATTGTAGATGTATTGAATTATTTGATTAGGCCGGCAAAGCCATATGCTTCAACAGTAGTGGCAGTAGTGTTTTATCAGCCATGGAGCATGACTCTTTTTATTATGTTGTATATGCATGACTTAGGCTTTGCCTAAATATTAAAATACGTCAAGGGACGCTTTACATAAAACGAGTTATTAATATGTGTCATCCATAAGGATCGTGATAAAATAATAAATACTTAGATATTTTAAATATTTTATGTATAAGTTGTGTATTGTTGGCGTATAACACACTTCTTAAGAAAAATATTTAAGGAAAAAAATTAAAAGTTACTTTTCATTATTATCTTTTTGATTATTCTTCTGAAAAATATAAAATAGTAAGAACTTTATTAACAAGGGGAATAAATATGAGAAAATGTCTCAACAATTCTTTTGAACTTTGAAGAATTCATTTATTTTGAATTGTAAAATAAAGTTTCAACAATTCTCTTAATATGGACGAGAGGGAGATAAAGAAGTTTCAAATATAAGTATTATGTCATTCTTGATTAGAAGTTTCATATATATATTCTAATAATGGGTTGCATCGATAAGTATTGTGATGATGTGATAAGCGTTTCGTCATTCTTAATCAAAAGTTTTAAAATCAAATTTTCAGTACAAAGTATTCTTATTATAAAGTGATCTACCATGTGATAAAGGAATTTTTCGATGCAAATCTAAATTTAATTTAGTTTCAAATTAATCAAATACTAAATAAGAAAAACAAGAAGCTATTGATAGATATATTCTCTAATATATTTTATTAGATCAAACTATTGATTGTGAATCATATTCCACACAAAGCATACTTTTTTAGTTACTAAGGTCTAAAAGCATGCCTATTTTCCACACAAAAACTAATTCTAAGTTCTCGTTGTCTTAACTTTTACTTTATTGCATTCAAATCACTAAACAATCATTAGTAACAAAACAATCACCCACCATTACCTAAATATTACAAGGAAATCACAATATGGTGTTTTATAATTAAAAAGTTACTCAAACTTAATGGTTGAGTTAAAAAAGCGGAAATTATTCATCTCAATCTTTTTCGCTAAAAAAATCACATTATAATAGATGTTGAATTTCTCGATGAATATCTTATCTCATCACTACTCAAACTCATATATCAATGAAAGATCATTATCGCTCAGTATACTGGACATACATTAATAATTTTGGAATATAAATTACTATTGTAGTATCCCTTGTTTGATTACTAAGTTTGAAATAAATTATATTAGTAATAGTAATTAGTATCAGGATACATTATCTCTGTCATAGGGTGAAACAATAGTATCAGAATTAGTTATTCCAATATTAAAACAACAAAAATGACAAAAATACTTCTAAGGTTCCTCAAACCTTTTTTCTATTAAATAAGATGGAAGAATTTTTTGTAAACAAACAACTTATTCTTAGATATTATGCAATGCACATTGTTTTTAATATAACTAACCAAACAACTAATAAAAATAATATTTAAATAAATAATTTCAGCATAACTTATCTTTCAAACCAAACAACCCTAAATAATGATATTTAAGGAACTAGCTATGGTGGACGAAGGTATTCATTCGAACCCTTTCACCGTAAAAACACATTATATACAACAAGATCGAATTTTTTTAATATATACATAAAATAAAAGTTAATTCTCTTAGTTATTGTGATTTCAAACACATGTGGTCTTAGCTAGTAGTAATGGTGTACCATGAACTCATATATAGTTTTATATTATATGATTTGCCTAAATATTGAATACATAAGGGTCAATTAAGAAGTAGTACTATATGTTAGGTTAGGTCAATTAGTGATGACCTATTCCATATATATAAACATTTAATGCTTATAGATTTGACAATTTCATTGGTTAGAGAGGTGTGACCACGTTGACAAAGTTTAATTTTTTAGGGTGTTGAATATTATCTCATTACAAATAGGTCATAAATATATTTTTATATATGATGATTAGCAAACGCGGAAATAAAAAGATTTTCCTATGGAATTTGAGGCCTCTTAAGACTTTTTTGATATTATGAGTTAGAATTATAATTTGTTTGACTTGGTAATTTCTTTTCCAAATATCATGTAAACAACAAGTGAGGATGTTTCTTTATGTCTTGTTTATATAACATAATTTTTTATTGTATATGAAAAAAAGAAAAAGATTTTCAGAATTCTGTAATTATAAAATAAAAGTTAAAATTTATAATTATTATTTTATAAGTAATCTGTTTGTGTCACTTTTTATATTAAAATACAAACGTCTCATTGAGTTACAATATGGTTCTATATTAACACTTTAACATGTCTATAAAATGATAGCCGAT